TGGTTTTTTTTATGTGGTTACTCTTTTAATTTTAATGTTTTGGGAATACTTTCCTATTAAATTCACATATCCACTCCTGTGAAGCAAGCTCGGTGGTATATTTGCTGAGTTGGGAATAAACATAAATGAGGCCTTTTTCGTCAGGTTTCTCTTAAAGTTGACCAGCAGTGGGTTTTTCATTTTGGCAGATGGTGGTACGTCAATGACATCAAGTTCCAGCAAGGATGCAAGGCAGCAAGAAACTTTTGAGCACTCAGTGGATCAGGACACACCTGCTCAAGGTGTGTATTTTGGAATCATTTAGCAAACCTTTCGAAACTAAGTCAAGTAAAATCATTTAACTGATAACACCCTTACTATTTGATAGTTATTATATGATGACATTGATACAAATATAACTTCTCAGTCTCGTGAGTATTCTCAATTATTTTCATTGTTTAACATATCATAATAGGTAAAAGAAAAATGCCACCTTTAAAATGCCACCTTATCAGTGGGGAGATCTCTGCTTTCCCTGCCCCTCTCAATGTTGGTTTGCAAGATGGCTTAGACACATGATTGGCAATTGACAGCATTGGAAGGGGAAGAGGGACAGAGGAACATCATTTCTCTAGAGAAGTGTCCCAGCTAAATTTTGCCAAGGAGTGAATTATATTGCTGTTGATTCTAGTCCATTGTAATAACGCATGATTGCATTATTTACTGAAAGCTCACCCCTTGGCCTTGTTTGTGCTGCAATATTCATGATTCTTTGTCACTTTATTGTTGTTTTTATGTGGTTACTCTTTTAATTTCAATGTTTTGGGAATACTTTCCAATTGAAATTCACATGCCTGCTCCTGTGAAGCGAGCTCTGCAGTATATTTGCTGGGAATAAACATAAAGGAGACCTTTTTCGTCAGGTTTCTCTTTAAGTTGACCAGCAGTGGGTTTTTTATCATGGCAGGAAGTGGTACATCACTGACATCAAGTTCCAGCAAGGATGTCATGCAACAAGAAACTTTTGAGCAATCGGTGGATCAGGACACACCCGCTCAAGGTGTGTATTTTGGAATCATTTAGCAAACCTTTCGAAACTAAGTCAAGTAAAATCATTTAACTGATAACACCCTTATCATTTGATAGTTATTATATGATGACATTGATACAAATATAACTTCTCAGTCTCGTAAGTATTCTCAATTATTTTCATTGTTTAACACATCGTAATAGGTAAAAGAAAAATGCCACCTTATCAGTATGCAATTGAAATCGAAAATGGCCGAACTGCCTCAGAAAATGGAATGGTGACAAAAGGTCAACAAGATTGGGGAGGAAATTTGACAGTGGATAATCAGCACACTTCTCAGTCCAACCACGGTAGGTGAAGAATATAACTTCTGTCGAGAGATTTTCATGGGGCTAAAATTAACCCACTGATACAAAAACGTATTTTCGAAGGAATTATTTAGCCCGCAAATGTGTCAATTATAATTATAACACCGTGTATGACCGTGTTTCTCGCAACGAAATATCCTGGTTCTTGCACGAAGTGATCTGTGCTATCTGCGTGTGTATAAAACTAGATTGTG